CCAACAGACTGGGCTGGGATCTGCGGCACTTGCCAAATATCATTCGGATGTTGTCACGGTTTCCTTTTTCCTATGCAAAAGCAGCACTCCTCTCTCTTCTCCTCCTCCTCCTCCGAGATCCGCATTAACCCTGGGGGGCGAGGAAGCCAAACACAAACCATGTTTGTTTAATAAAAGCAGTGTTTAACAGTGCCATCCTTGAGGACTGCTCTTTTGCAAAGCCAAGCATGCCGGCACTTGGCACAGTATTCCAGAAAATGAGTTCTGTGCCTGCAGTTGCCGGCCCAAAGCATCTGGCTTTGGCTGTTCTTTGTGGAAGAGGAACCTAGAACCGCGCTCTGGGGGCACAGGATGAGTCTGGGAGGTGACCTTGGAAAATGCAATCTCTTGGCTGGCACGCTCCCACGAGCCAGGAGAGGGTGGTGGTGGTAGATCCCTCAGAATCCAGGGTGGCATCTTTTGCCTCCGGATCCATTCATAGATCACACTCAGAATCCAGAGAAGCCAGCAGGTTGTCTTGAAACGGAAAGGAGAACAATGAAAATGGAGCGTTTTAGGCCCGCTGGATTCCTCAGGCCTCCTTCCGTTCCCCGGCATTCTCGTTTGCACAGACGGGCTTTTTATTCCTGCCCCGAGAGATACCGAGTCAGGCTGGGGCCCTTGGAATTCAACTCCGCTGGCCCTGGAAAAGGTTGGAGGTGGCCAAGAGCGCTTTCTTATCCTGGCGGGTGATTTATAGGCCGAGAGGAGCGACTTGTGCAAAAGGCAAAGCAGAATCTCGGCAGCCGGCCAGCAGGATCTGCTGCAGCTGCGGCATTGTGAAGTCATTGCCCTAACAACCGCTGCAAACAGAATAACAAAGTCTGGCCTGTTCGCACATCGGATCCTCTTTCCAATTCCAAAACCACCGTTTTAAAGGCTTACCTTTCCACATCCAATTAGCCGAGGCAGTTTGCAAATTCTTGGGCTGTGTCGTTTTTCCTTCCTTTCTCTCGTTAATGTCATCCTTCAAGAATGGCCTGCTTTCTAGCAGGCATTTTTTGGAAAATCTCTCTCGCTTTCTCTCATGCAGTGAGGAGGAGGATGATTTTATTATTGCATCTTTGAGAACTATTTAGTTTTGGGAAACTCTGATGTGCTTTTGTTCAATGATACTGAATACCTCCCAATCAGACCTAGCTGCATGATCATTTTAATAGATTTCCCAAAATTTGAGGGGACTTGAAACTCCCAAGCTGGTACAAGTTTCTGCTGAAATGCAAGGAAATAAATCTCCTCTTTGAGCTGGACACAGTTGCAGGTGACTTCGCGCACACATGTCCATGGATTTGTCATCACTGTTTCCTGCAATTTTTTTTAAAATTCCGAGTCTAGCCTTCAGTCCTGGGATTTAAAAGAACAACAATAATCCAGGATTGGCTAGAGTTTAGCACCTTTAGAAATAAGGAAGGGTGGGTTGGGTTTTTCCATATGACTAACTGCAACTGGTTTATTTAATTCCTTAATTCCTTTGCACTCAAAATGGACTTTGCCTGCCAGGGGAGAGAAATTTCTATATTCCAGCATCGATACAAGTTTGGACTTCAAGTTGTGGATGAATCCCTCACATTGAACACAGGCTTTTGGTAACAAGGCTTTTGGAAGCTGATGAACATAAATGGTCTGTTCAACGCCCTGCAGGGACTAATGAAGCCTGCACAGCTACCATTTTAAGAGGCTTACATTCTGGTAGACGCTGGAGTTTTAATGTCAGGCCCAACTTCCTCTTCCTTGTTCCCTGTTTTAACATCTTTGGTGAAGGCAAAAGCTGGCTGGCTTCCTTGGGGACATTTATCTGCGTTCCCCGGGCAGTGCACAAATAACACTAGTTAAAATCACCTTAAAACCACCAGCAAAAGTATGATAAATAAAGTAAAATGCCAGGGGGAGGGAAACAGGCTTCATCTGGGTTCTGGAAGGGCTCATGCCAGGGCTAGGAAAAGCGACTCTCAAACATCTGTATAGAATAGATATATAACACCGAATCTGTTACAGCCCAGCCCAGCTATTTAGTATTTTCGTAAATGACAAAATTCATTCTGAGCAGAAATAAATAAGGAAAGGGCAGCTTTAATGAGCTTGCAGAAGAGGCTACAACTGGATCCCATGTTGGGGACCTTTGACACACTTTTTTTTTTTTTTTAATGCAGTGGAAAATGGCCCAAATCAAAATGTCCCCTCTTCTCTTTCAGGTCCCATCCGATCCTCCTGTCCCCAAGAAACCCAAAGTAGATGATGCCCTACAGTCTCCCCTACTTGGCGATAAAGAGAAACAGTCCAGCTGGTTACGATCCTTGTCTAATTCATCCAATAAGGTGAGTTTTTGGTGATGGAGGCTCTGCACAAGAATGGTCTCAAGTTTCGAAGAAGGCCAGAGGGTGCAACGCACAGGACCCCAAAGTTCTCCCTCTCCTGACCGTGTTGGGTGGATGAAGCCCTGGATGGCCTGCGCTTGGATTTGAGAGTTTAGCCAGCAAGACTGGCTGAGTGAACGCAGTCTCTGCCTTTGGGGCACAGTGACTGTTTTTAGTTTTGCCCGGTAAATCCCCAACTTCTGTTTTAGTCATTTGAGGTGTAGGGCTCCTGTTACCGAGATGCAGCTGCATCTCTCCTAAAATCAGTTGAAATCTTTTCCCGCAAGAGACAGCTCCAGCACAAAGACAGGCAGGCTTCTTTGATCACTGGGTTAAGATTATGAGATTGGCTTCGTACAGAGTGTGGAGGTGGGTCCAGCCCACCCAGCAGCATCTGTACCTGGGGAGGCACCCTGGCTTCTGTCTGGTGCGTCGGATCACAACGCTCACCGACTTTTCAGAAGCCTGAATCTGCAGAACTCAACCCCTTTCCAGTTCTCCTTCCAGAGTCAGCCACCTCTCTCTCACACAGCTTTGGGCACCTTCCCGCTTCCCAACTCACTCCCAAGCAGTTGCCCTATTTCTAGCTTGTCACGGCTCCTCTTCCATCCGCTTGTCTCTCACCCTTCCTTTCCCTTCCTTTCTTGAGCAGAACATCGGGTGCCTCCATCCCCGGCAGCGTCTTTCAGCGTTCCGGCCCTGGTCCCCCGCCGTTTCAGCCAATGAGAAGGATGTCTCCAACCACATCCCCACGTTGATCAGAGACAGGTAAGGAGAACCGGAGTTTCGCCAGCCTGAATTTTAAGGCCATTAATTCCAACAGGAGACCAAGGCACGTTCAGGCTGTCATCTGGCACACGAGCTCTGAAAAGCATTCTATAGGAGGTATCAACACCCCAAAATCTTCAAATCTGCCAGAAATAAAACCCCAAATACACAACCAGGGTGTGTAGGCTATGCCCAAACATTCAGAAAATATATAGAGAACAGGGTATAAAGGTGAAGAGCTGCCCAGAGTCACCCCACGGTGACAAATTAAATTAAACCTTTTGTGTATAGGAGAAGGTAGTTTTCTAATCATGTTGTTGAGCTGGGCAGTTGATGGGTCTAGACCAGTTCTAGACCTGAATCTTCCCTTTGCTCTTCAGCCACTTGAAGCTCTACAGTACCGTTTATTATTTAGTTAATTACTGGTTAGCAGTTCCTTGATGATTTGTATATGCGTACTAAAGGATGTATATTTTCTACATTTAAAAAAAAACACCATCTCCCCAAGTGCTTTGCTTCCTTAAAACCTGGAGCATAAAAATAAGATTACCTTGCCCAATGAAGAGGTGAACTTTTCAAATCTGGCAATTAAGCCTTTAGATGATTCATTGCGTTAATGAGAAGTGGCACGGAAATCCACCCAAGGAGCCGTCTTCTCAAACCCTGCAAAGTGGAGCGGGTGAGTCACCCCAAAATAGCACTGTGGGGGCTGCAAGGTAACCAAATGTTCTTTATGCCCTTCCGTTTGCTAGTTTCTATTCGTACAAAAGTTTTGAGAATGCCGTCGCTCCCAACGTGGCGTTGGCCCCCCCTCCTCAGCCAAAGATCGTGAGCCACCCACTGTGCGCCCCAGCCGCCTTGCGGAGCAGCGAGCCCCTGAGCAGCCCTCCCCAGCTAAGGAAAAGGAAACACGTCTCCGAAAATCCAGCCGTCCCCGAACCGCCGCCCACCGCCGCCGCCGTGCCCGCCACCACCGCTCCCGCCCCTGCCACAGAAGAAGACAAGGAATCCGAAGCAGAAATAGAAGTGGAAACACGAGAAGAATGTAAGTGTGACTTGCCCGGTCTTTTCTGGGGACCCAGCAGAGGAGAGCTTTGGGCCTCCTCTGTTCAGAGAAGTCGATTCATGGTCAAATAACCTTGCGTTAAAGCGGTTCTTCCAACTGGCTGAAGCCTTCCTTCAGCAAACTGCTCGGTTTTGGAAAGAAGTCCTGGTGCTTCAGGAGTCTCTGGAGGCCCCGCCAGTTCTTCTTGAGCGTTGTCAAATGCCCGCAGTTCTGTAAGCTTGAAGGAATTCTTGTCTTGCTTTCACACAGACAAAATATACCCTGCTCTGAAGTGCAGGACGCGCTTCCCAAATGCTTGAAAGACCTACGTTTCTTTTCACACACACACCCCGCCTTTACTGTAATGGGGCATTACGATGAACAAACCATGTTTTAATAAGGTTTCCCGTGCTGCACCACTCAGCAGTATACCCCCGGCAGGCTCCCCACAAACAGGAAGGCGGGCTTTGAGGTGAGGGGACAGGATCTGGCCTGAGGAATTGCTGGTTGGAGTTGCCTCGTGCCTGAAGCCCAAATGAGGACTTAGGCGAATCCAGCCGTCGTGGCTCGAACAGCATGAATTCCACTTAGCATGATGCATCAGCCCTGCCACACCTTAGATGAATGAACTCTGGAAACTCCCCCCCCCCCAAAACAAGTCATATTGCTATCCAGGCTAGGCTGTGCTTTCTAACACAACGTCTGGGGGCGGATGGCCTGTTACCACTGCTTCGTTTCTTCTCCTTCCAGTCACTTCCTCCCTTTCCTCGCTCTCCTCCCCGTCCTTCACCTCTTCGAGTTCAGCCAAGGACATGAATTCCCCCAGCATGCAAGTCCAGCCTGCCGCCAGCAACGTGTTTGAAGCGTCAAGTCACGCCGAGCCTCAGAATGGCCCCAACGGGCTGGAAGCCGAGCTGGAGCATCTGAGGCAGGCCTTGGATGGTGGTCTGGACACAAAAGAAGCCAAAGAGAAATTCCTCCATGAAGTCGTGAAGATGAGGGTGAAGCAGGAAGAAAAACTCAACGCTGCCTTGCAGGCCAAACGCAGTCTCCACCAGGTAATGGGGTGCAGCCATGGCCCAGCGCCATAGAGTGGACCCTGGGGCACTAGACCGGCGTGAAAAGTCTAGGCAGTGCTCACATTTAACCCTTTGCTGCCTCTAACGGTCCCCTGGATGTTTGAAGCTCAGATTGGCTGGCTGGGCCACCCTCCACTTCCTCATGTTGCCTTATTATTATTAGTCATAGGTCTGGAAAGTAAACTTCCCAAAGGGTGCAGTCGCACAAAAGGAATGTTGATTGTAGGAGTTTGTAGGAGTTGCTTTATTTCCATACGGGGAGAAGGCTGTAGCTGAAGCAGGGACGCTCCTGTTTGCTTTGAAAATGTGCCACGAAAACAAGGGGCGCGTTCCCTGTGTGGCTTGCTGCTGTTTAGTTCGAGAGACTCAAAGGTTAGCATCATGTGCGTAATGCAAAGAACGTGCCTAGGAGGTTATACTCAGTTACACTGGGCATGCTCGCAGCCATCTTTTATGTCTCTAAATTGAGAAGCACACTTTCTGCTAGGATCGATGTAAGGATAATTTATATGGGAAAGAAAGGGGAAAGGGGGTCGTGCTTTGAGGAGGGGATGGGTAGAAATAATAGCCACTGAATCCAAAGTTAGATTACGTCGCCCTGAGTGGCTGGGTTGGATCGGACAAGCCAGCTATAAATGTCACGTGAAATCACAGGCTTTAAAACGCCGCAAAAAGTGATGATGGCGCCGTTGGGGTCCGGTTTTTGTCCAAAGGCTGTTTTCATTGAGGCGAGGTGGCAAGTCCTCCAAGAAGCCAATCAGCGTTGCTCTTCAATTAAAAGCTGGCCAGAAAATTGAGCACGTGGTGGTTATCCAGCCAAACCGGCATAAGCCAAAGGGGGCGGTTGGCCTGAGCACTTCCTTGCCAGTTCCGCCTCCCCTCTGGAATATTCCATCAATGCCACCCCAAAAGGAGCCTGGGCTCGTGCGTAGATCGGCACAGGCAGCGTTCCCCACGGCTCCCGCTCCCCGAACACCCTTCTTCCCTCCCGGAGCTTCTTCCGCTCTTAAGACGCCATCTTGTTGCAGGAGCTCGAGTTCCTACGCGTGGCCAAGAAGGAGAAGCTGAGGGAGGCGACGGAAGCCAAGCGCAACCTGAGGAAGGAGATTGAGCGCCTCCGCGCGGAGAATGAGAAGAAAATGAGAGAGGCCAACGAGTCCCGGATACGCCTCAAGCGGGAACTGGAGCAGGCCCGACAGGTCCGGGTGTGCGACAAGGGGTGTGAAGCCGGCCGTCTGCGAGCCAAATACTCAGCCCAGGTGAGTGTGGGAGCCGCGAGGCCTGCTCCCTGCTGCAGAGCGTCACTTTTCACTTTGGCTTCCTGATCACCTTGGCTTTGGAGTCCCTGGCAAAGAGGAAGCGAGGGATCGCAAGAGGCGAGGTCCTCGTGTCCACCCTCTCTGCCAGTGGGCAAAAGCCGAAAAAATGAAAAATCAAGGAAGCGACTGAGAAAAGCAGCACTGCGTTCCAGACCGGTCGAGGCAGCCCTCACAAGGTCAGGCGGAGCCTTGGCAGAAGCGCTCAGGGTGGCTCTGAGCATCTCACGTTCAAATTAGCGGATCTCCTTCTCCCGAGTCTCCGGACTCTGAAAACTCTCCTGGGTTGAGTCAGACCGTGAATCCGCCCTGCTGGAGGCTCCTGTCCCCAGCAGGATTTCTTTCCCAGCCTCACCTGGTCTGGTTATCAGAAAGGGGCGCGGGTGAAAAAGTCCCTCTTGAGAGGCCTGCCGACTTCAGGAGAGCCGAAGCAGGAAGCGACGCAGGCACTGCCCTCCGAGCAGGGCGTCTCTGCCGCAAAGCGTTAGACGGTGGCTTGGTGCGCCAGGTGTCAGCTCCCACTGGCGCAGCTGGGATGGGGCAGACAGGAGCCCCCAGATGGCATCGTCTGGCCTTTGCCTGCTCAGGGCCTCAGCTGCCTTGGCAGGGCCTTGGCAGTTGGCTCGGTCCGTTTTTAAGTTTTTCACGGTTGCAGGGACAGGAGGAAGGGGCTTGGTTTGGGGGCTGCACAAATGACGCTCCGAGTCCTTCTGCCTCAGCGGCCAACTGCTGCGCCAACAGAGGAAGCCTGTGCTCAAATGTGACGATGCGTCTCATTCCCCGGTTGCTAATTTACCAAAACCCACAGCGTGTCTGCTCCTGTTAAGAGAGACAGCCTGCAAAAGTCTAGGAAGAGCGGGGGGCCCGCGCACATGCACAGATTGCTCTAAGCCCTACGGTTTAGTGCTGGGCCTGAGCCCGAACCCTGTGGATTGTAGCTCACGGGGAAGAGAGCTGCCCTCCTGGGCTGGGGACGCTGCTAACCCACCTGCTGTCACCTCTTTGCCCTAGATCGAAGATCTGCAGGTGAAGCTGCAACACGCAGAGGCGGATCGAGAACAGCTGCGCGCCGACCTATTGCACGAGCGTGAAGCGCGAGAGAACTTGGAAAAAGCCGTCAAGGAACTTCAAGAGCAACTCTGGTCAAAGCATAACGACCTGTCCACCAGCGCACACCCCCCCAACGACCCAGAGAACTAAGGGCCGGGCTGAAGACCAAGGGAGTAATGCGCTCTTGCCTGTGGGCCAGGTTGCCGATGCGTGCGTAGTAAGCGAGAATGTGTGGGAAGAGGCACTCCCCGCCCCTGCATGTGGCTAAACATGGATTTTGTTATTAATTGGAGGGCAAATGTTACTCTTTATAACAAAAGCACTGAATTCTGCCTCTTTTTTAATCCGTATAGCACAACATTTTCCTGTGCCTATAACGTGAAAAGTGTTTATAAATCTAAACTACTCTTTTGAGTCTGCAGCAAAAAAAAAAAAAAAAGGATTAAAAAAATGTATTTTTCTTTTGTACTGGGAAAACTTGTCCGGTCAGCAGCATTCATGGAAATTAGGGACAAGCACCGAGGGCTGCTACGAATATACGTGTGTGTGTGTGTGTGTGTGTACACACACATACACACACACCAACAAGCCCTTTTGTTATAAGCTATTTCAAAATGCAAACAATTTAGTCAAGACGACGTATTAAAACCATTGACAAGATTTTTTAAAAATAAAAAATAAAATATATTATATATAAATGTGTGGGGGGGGTACTTTTGATGCCTAATGTGTAAATTGGTACAGGTGTTGGAAAGTGTTGCAGGAAAGAAAATAGCCATGAATGATTTCAAATCAAGTGATTTTTATGAGAATTTCAAATTTAGGATTTTTTTCCCCCTTCTCCAGGTTTAAGCATCTTTGTTTTTCCTATGTTTGATCATAAAAAAAGAGAAAGTCAGCGGGGGGAAAAAGGATGTTTGTACATTTAGGAATAGCTCTATCTCCTAAATAAACCCAGCCTTATGAAATTCAGTGTTTGTTCATCACAAATACATCTTTCAAAGACTCACTTCTACTCCAGAGCACTTCCGGCTTTAGTAAACAAAACCGAAAATGAAAAAAAAAAAAGAGAAAGAGAGAAGGAACAAGTTTAACCTGAAAGAAACAGCTGGATCGCCCAGTTGCTTGTGAACAAGAAGCAGGAAAGAGTGAATGGCGCGCACGTGTTGGGAAAGAAACCCTGCCTTCCGTTTGGCTCCGCGAATTCATTCCAGTTCGATCGACGCCTCCGAAATTGCCGCGTTGGACGGACTCCTTACCTGCCGCCACGTGTGAGTGTCTGGTGCCCCTGCGAAGAAGACTCGCCATGGTATTAGAGAGACAAAAGACTTTTGCTGCTGTGAATAAGCCTACTTTTGTTTATTCTTTAGGGATATTTTTGGTCACGGGGTGGTTTTGTTTGTTTTAATGTGACAAATACTTTAATCTTGGGATCGACGGCGCCGCCTTCCCCCTTCCCTGCAGCGGACATGTAAGTATGCAGCGAGTAACACACTCGGGGTGCTTTGCTCCTACCTGGCCAGAGCCCCCATCTTAAGTCCCCCCCCGGATTTTCTTTTTGGGGAGCATGTAAAGTCCCGCCGCTTGGTCCTCTGGCCCCTCTTCTACCGCCACGTAGAGAGACACGTCCACCAAGTGCCCCCCGTGAGTTTGCCATGCCTGGCAGCCGTCGGGGTGCAAGGGACACGTGTAACTCAGCCCCGCAGCGGACCGGAGCCCGTCTTGGCTGCAATGTTCCAAGATTGTCACGGGTTAGAAGCACAGCACTGATGGGTCTGGAGCTCCTTAGAGTCGGCTCTCCGGCGGCCAGGAAGCTCCTGAGGATACCTGAAAGGTTGGTGGCCCTAACGTAGGAATCGGCGACAAACGCTCCGAAGCCAGCCGTCGACCCCGGCTTGCGCTCAGAGCACCAAGACGCTGAGCCATTTTTCCCGTTTACCAGCTTGCCTTGCTGGGGTCAGTTCTGAGGAGCGACAGCTGCTTTGTAAGGACCGGTCTAGACCAGGATGGAGGATCTGCATTCACACATCCCATTAACCCCAACCTGCTTGTGGAACAAGCAAGGATTAGCTGTGCAAGTGAGCAACGCACTCCTAGCTTGTTTAGTTTGCTTCCCCTCCATTTTTGCGGATCTTGCCCTTGCGCTTCTGGTCTGACTACAGACGGGGGCGGGAGAAAGAAACAGACCAGGACTAAGCTAGGAAGGCCGAGACGTCATTTGCATTCTCATTTGCACGTTGCATAAAGCCATATCTGCAGCTGAGAAGCTGACCACAAACGGGGGTTTCAAGCTGAAGCTTACTGTCCTAGCCAAACCTTGGTTTTTCACTGCTTGCACATTGCATGATGCCAAAACCAAATCTAACCAACCACGTTACGACTTACCAAGCCTCCTCCAAATTCTCCTCCTTCCCATTTCCACTCGCTGTTCCCAAACACGGAGGGAAACGTGTCCCCCTCCCCATATCCATATTGCGGCAGCCTGTCCTAAAATTAAAGTATTAATTTGCAGTACACTAAAGGAAAAAAATGTATTAATTTTTTTTTTAAAAAAGCTGTTATTATCCATTCTAATAGCCATTGTAAGCATGAATGTTGAAAAGGAGGAAAGTACATTTATGGGAGTGGGAGGGAGACTGGTTAAGAAACCATATAAATACAAAGGAAGATTTATTAGAGGAGGAATCAGGTTACTTAGGCAAAAATGAAAAGCACGAAACGGCTCCGTGAACTAGCTTGCATGATACAACGTTGTCTAAGTTTGAGGTTTCTGGCCTTCTTCATTTGCAATGAATGGGTTCAGCTCTAAAGTGCAATGCAAAAAAAAAAAAAGGAATATTGATTGTGTTTATGCAGTTATTTTTTTAATGTGAGGTTTTTTTTAAAAAATGGCTTCTTTGTATGTTTTTTTCTGCAGTTATTAAAAGAACATATGCATGGAATTAAAATTTTTACCATACATATATTAATTAATGGGCATTATTAGTGTCTTATGTAAAAGTGCATAAAGGTTTCCCCCCCACCCCCCTCTCCCCTTAGCTGTCTGGATTTTCTCCTTCAGCATCGCTTTGTGGTAACGGCACAGGACCTAGCTCCAGTTTAACTCCAGCGCTGCCTTTGGCTGTTCAAACTCACGAAGGGGGAAGATCCCCTCTTGGCACAAACCGATGGTGGTTCCATCAACGCCCAGTTCGTCTTCTCTTCTCTGGTTGGGTTTCAACAGGGAGGAAACTCCCCATGGATCCCCCCCCCAAGGGACTTCAAGCAGATTCAAGAATTTATGCTCATGTCAACGAGGAAACGGTTTCGTCCTCGGTGCCGGTGGTATTCACCGTTCCCTTGAGGGTGCGATGGGCGCGACTGCCAGTGTTCCCCACCCCCCCGGGGTCCCGCGGGTGGGCAGTTGACAGACCTCCTCATCTTTTGCATGCTGCTATTTCTAAAATCTTCTCCACGGCACAGAAGTGCAATGCTGTACATGCAAATTAAGCCTTTGCGGGGGGGAGTAAAATTAAAAGCAAAACAGGGTCTGGTCTTCCACAGCAACCTAGCTTTGAGGAAGAAAAACTCTTGCAATTTAAACAATTCCAGTCTCACATCTTTCTCTGTTCATTGCTCCCAGGTCCTCATTTCCCCTCCAAATTTAAAAACATGGGGGCGGGGGTGGCCGGCCCCCACCCCTGCACTTTGGACGGTCCTTTCAGTTTCGCAGCACCGCCCCCCCTCCTGCGTTTCCCTTCCTCAGCAGCAGCAGCAGCAGCAGCCTCGCCCTGCCTGGGTAAAACGAAAGGCCTAGCTTCCGAAATGGGCCGTGGGGGTGTGCACATGTGTGTTCCGGAGACAGCTTCAAAACGGCAATCCCAGGCTCGCTCGCTCGCTCGCTCGCTCGGAAGTGGCTCCAGGGGGCCCAACCAGCCTTCCGGAGGA